TCATGAGGGAGGCCGTGGCGGGCCTTAATGTTCCCCCGTGATTCCGAGGGAGGCCTAAATTGGCCTTAATGATCCCCCGGAGTGTGCACATGATTGGCTTTTAAGCCCCAGGGTCTTTATGACCACCAGATGCCCCAGTTACAGTTTCAGTTCAGATCTGTTCTTATATACTTAAAGTCATGATATTGTTATTAACGATGTTGCATAATTAAGAACTGGTCTTTGCGGAGCATAGCAGTTTTGCTCACGCCCCCACTACGTTTTTCAGGTGACGGAGCGGCGCGTGGCGCGTGAGATTTCAGTGGTGGTCATGGTCATTAGCTGTCTTTTTGTAACGCATCTACATGTCATTATTTGAACATGTACTATTATTACTATGCGTAGACATATTATGTTTCAGCTTCCGCACATTTCAGACTTAGTATGTATTATGATATTATCAGACTTATGCATGTATAATGCCTTTATCTCCGTGGTACCTTTATATAACGGATTTGATTAGGTTGCATGTATCTATTTACGTCTGCATGAGAAAGAGTTTAAGTTAGTAGCATCCCGCAAGTTAGTATGAGTATTTTCGAAAATAAAGTTTAAGAGTTTTTCGAAAATAAAAAGAAAAAATTTTACTCTGATTTTATAAATTCTAGAAAGAATTAGGCGGGGTGTTACACGTTTTCTCTCTCTGTCGCTTCGTATTTCGTGCATCATCTTGGCCGTTGAATCTTACTTTAATCTAAGGGCCAATATCCTTTCATCCATTATATAAATATTTCGCATCCTCTAATTTCATCACTTTTCGCAATTGCTCTCATTCTCAAGCTTTCTTGAGTTCTCTGGCAATCCAGCTCTCAGATTCTCCGGCGCACGTATTCTCCGAATACTCATGTGAAGTTCTCATAACTCTTCAGCCAAGCCAATATGTGTAAGTTTATCAATTTCACACTTTTGCAGTTTTTTGTTGGTTTTCTGGGTTTGTGTTTTGAAGTTTATAGATGTTCTTCGTGTTCTCCAAAATCTTCAAGTATTTTCTGGCAATTTTCAACATTACACCTTGAGTTTGGTGATTTTATCTTAGATAACTTGTTTGCCGTGGCTCGACCGTATCGGGAAAGTCGACCCAATATGCCTCATATCGACATCAGTTTACGAGTCGACTATTGGACTGTTACGTGTAATTTCTCCACTTCTCGTCCTACCGTTGATCTTAAGATTGTGTCCTTTAATCGTCCTACCATTATGGGTAGTTGTTTCCTTCATCACTTCTTACCTTACTTTTGGATGTAGACGAGTCGAGTAAAGAGTCCCCTTTTCTCCCTTTGGGGTTTACTTAGTTCGAATATTATCATCTTCAACATACTGATCGCGTCTTCTTTTCGTGTTCACTAGATTCCAATTCCTCCTCCGACTCTATTGCTCGTCAGATCGATGAGTATTCAGACTCCGACTCAGTTCATATACTCGACCATGTACCTGTCCTCGAGTCAGAAGTTCTGGACCCACCCGCGTCTCGCTCCTCTGATGGAGGTGTCGACTGGAACAAGTATAATCAGGCTCTCCTCTCAAGTGCTTTAGCAGTCAAGTTTCGTTACTCCCCTCAAGTCGAGAGTTCTCGTAGTTTAAGCCTTATTTCTCGAGGTATATCTCTAAGGTTTTTAGATATTCTTGTATATAGAACAAGTGTATCAGTAGCTTGTCCATTAGCTAAGTTAGTTGTTCTAAATCCATTTTCTTATGCCTCTGCAGCCGAAATCTAGGGCTTTAGGAAGTTCAACGGGCTTCCTTCTGACTAGGAGTTGATCGCCCCTGGTCCTAACGATGACTTTTCTCATCCTCTCCCCGGCCGTTTTACATTCTTCGTCGACCAAATAATGTTCGACTTACGTTTCCCTATCTTGCCCGAACTTCTGACGATTAGTAACATGTATAATGTACCAATAAATAAATTCTCTCCTAATGCTATCCGTATCATGGTAGCCTTCATCATTGTTTCAAAAACAACGTTAGGTCTTTTTCTACCCGAGCTCCTCTTTTATTGTTATAGTTATTGTTTCGTAAAAGACACCCATTGTCTGGGTCATCGTCGTGGTGTTTCCTTCTTAGACGATCTTTCTTCGAACATTACAGAATGGAAAACCAAGTACTTTTATGTCTGCCCTGCCTCCGATCGATACCCCTTCACCAATACTTGGATAATTGAGAAAGTTAAACAACACAAACGGCCACGGTCTTCTCAATTTGAAGCCATGCTCGACGACTTGAATGA